AAATCCATCATTATGAGTAACTGATTTCTGAGAATGGGAGTTGCCAATGTTATTCTGTGGAGAAAGGACTGTCTTTTCAACAAATAATGCTGGGACAATCTGACTATGTAAAATAAGCAGTTACTACCACCACGCCTTGACAACAACAACAACAAAACACATCTACCCGTAGCTTGCACTGTATAAAATAATTAACTAAAAATGGGCTAAATGTAAAACAGTGAATAAGAATGCATGCACACACACACACACACACACATACACACACACACACGTAGCTGCACACACATGCTCACATATACAAATGATAATTTACAGTTTTGTTGTTAGCCAGAGAAACTAAGTTTTGAGTAAGATGAAGGAGATGTTATGTTTTATTCTAGAAAGTGTACTTGGCTGTTATATTATTAATAGACTAATGGGTAGCTAGGGCAAGCAAAGAGACCAGGAAAAGATTATTGCAATAATCCAGGTAAGAGCTGAGGGTGGTGGCACTAAAAAGAGTAAAAATGTGGTCAGATTCAGGATATATTTTGAAGCAGAGCTGTTAAGATTTCTTGACTAACTATGCCTTGAGGAAAAAAAGAAAGAATTCAAGGATAGATACCAAGTTTTCCTTCCTGAACAACTAGAAGAAAGAAATTGCCATATACTGGGTGAAGAAAACTGAGGAATTAGTAGGTTTTATGTTAGATTGCTGCTGGAGTCAGCAACCTCTCCCAGCCTTGGTACCAGGAAACATGCTGTGACTTGTTTAGCGGCGTGGCGGCCAGAGCTACGGAAAGTCACGTGCAAGCATGTGCACGGACATGGGAAGAACCCACCCAGCCGATACACCCATTTTTTAGTTCATCTCCTCGTTCCTTTTTTTTAAAAATAAATTTTATTTAATTATTTTTAGAGAGGGGGAGGGAGGGAGAAAGAGGGAGAGAAACATCGATGTGTGGTTGCTTCTCACACGCCTTGTACTGGGGACCTGGCCTGCAACCCAGGCATGTGCCCTGGACTGGGAGTCAAACCTGTGACTCTCGGGTTCGCAGTCTGGTCGCTCCTTTTTTTTTTACATCCCAAGTCTTCAGGTTCCTGGCCAGCTAAGAGCCCGAGGCCCACTCAGCTTTCTTCTAGGTTGTCCCCTGTCTCTGGGACAACAAGGCTTTCAGTGAAACAAAATAGTTACCACATGGAGCATAGTGCCTGGAACTCAAGAAGATATTGAATGGACGTGGTTAGCCTCTGTGAGGCAAATGCTGACTGGCTATTTGGTCCCTTCACCTTGATTTGCTTGGAGAGATCTCGACAAGGACTTAGCATGTCTCTTCAGAAAGCTCCCAGTCCCTGGACTGAAGGGTGTAATAGCAGAAGGGAGACTGCGTACCCACTTGCACTCACACTACTGGGTAAAGATTAGTCTGGTTGGGGGAGACAGCTAACTCCAACACAAAGAATTTCTAAGTCACAGGTTTCTCCTAAGATTTTGTGAAACAAGTTTCTGAAAGAATTTAGTTGGTAAGTTAGTGGGTTGGTTACTCTTAGCCTCAAATCTCACTGGACATGACCCTAAATAACCCTATTATGTGGAGGAACTGTATTATTTTGTAAAAACAAAAATAAAATGCAACAGAAACAGAAATCAAAGGGCTGATTATTCATTACCTTTTGCCTTACCAAAGAAAGGCAAGAGGAAGGAAAAGAGGGTTCTTTCAAAACATAGTTTTCTAAATATTCAATTTATAAATAACGATTGGAGGGTCACCTACCAGGTAAGTGAACCGTATGTATTTGTCATCTGTTGCTACATAACAAAACAGCCCCATATTTAGCAGCTTCAAATGTTATTTCATTTTGAAACGTTATTTCATGATAGACGTTATTTCAGTGTTTGTGGCCGAGGATTTGGGAGTGCCTTGCGGGGTCCCCCGAGGCTGCATCGGGCTCCTGGTAGGCTGCTCCCTCCAGTGCCCGCTGGATTTTGTGGAGCCGCTGCTGAGCCTGCCCTGTGGTTGTTGATGGGAGGCATTTCCTCTTCGCTGAGTGGGCCTTTCCATGGAATTGGTCACAAAACGGCTTCCCCCTGAGCGAGTGACCCGAGAGAGAGAAATGGCACAAGACAACGACCAAAATGGAAGGCACGGTCCTGTTACAGCCTTATTTTGGAAGCAACATGCCATCACTTCTGCTGTACAGTGCAGTGTGGGAAGAAGCTGCCCAAGCACGCCAATACCAGGAAGAGGGGATCCTTGAGACCGACTTGATGGCTGGTTCCCACACTATTCCAGTTGTTCTGCACACAGTTGGTCTTCAGCCCAGTAGCTCCCCGACCTAGAACACTGAGATCACAAATAAATGTTTGGGGTGTGATGAATTTAGCTGGTGTCCACGTGCAGAGTGCCCTCAGAGGGGAGGCTCCTCACCACACACATACTGTGTTGCTGGTCACACAGACGTGTGAGGCTTTTAGTGCAAACTCATTTATTCTGTTAGAAGTCCCAGGCATGTGCCTTCTAATGGGAAATGTATGGTGCTATGTTTGTATGTGAAACAAACGCAAAATGAAGCATATAGTTTACAAGGTATTTAGGAGACAGAACAATGTAAACAAATGTGGATGCGCAGAGTCCTAATCAGCAAGGGCCAGTTCTAGGCCCATGTGTGTTACTAACTAGAACTACAACCTCAGGCAAGTCATTCAGCCTCTCTGGGCTTATTATACAACCAAAAATGAGTGTGTTGTCTTAGGTGACTTCTAATAATGCTGCTATGTCTAAAGATGATTATTTAATGATACTCTAATTATGGAAAATTCCCAATGAGATGTATTTCAGAGTACAATTTTCTACACATCAGCATTTCTACAGTAAGAGAAATATATCACAAATGGGCTTACAATCTTACTGAATCAGGGCATTTTAAAATAAGACATTTTTCATGGGACGAGGGTATTGATAGCATTCACTTATGGCAAACCCTGCCTTATGCTGGCCCTTGGGCTATTCAAGGCGTGTGTCAGAGGGTGGAGGGTAGGCCCTGCAGAGTTCCTCATACAGGGGCCAGAGAGGTGTGTCCCCAAAGTATAGTTTCCATGGGTCACATATGCAGCGTGTGGTCATGTCTGTCCCCGTAGGTCTAGGTGTATACATTTTTAAGACATTTATTGAGGCAGAACTTCCATGCCATAAAATTCACCTATTTTAGGTGCATAATTCCATGATTTTGAGCAAATCACAGTTGTGCTTTTCTAACCACAATCTGATTTCCATCACTCCCCCAAATCCCCTTATATCCATTTGTAGTCAATTGTCCTTTCAACTTGCATCCCCAGGCAACCACTAAATCTACGGTCCCTTTGAATTGCCTTTTCTAAAAATTTTGTATAAGTGGAATCATACAGTATGTAGCCTTTAGCATCTGGTCCTTTCATATAGCAAAATGTGTTCAAGGTGCATCCATGTTGTAGCCTGTATCAGCAGTTTGTTCTTTTAATTTTGGAATAGTATTCATTTGTATGGACATTTTGTTTATCTCTTCACCAATGTATCGATGCTTGGGTTGCTTCCACTTTGGGGCTGTTATGAATGATGCTGCTATGAACACTTCCATCAAATCTTTGTGAACATATGTTTGCATTTCTCTTAGGTATATAACCAAGAGATGGAATTGCTGGATCATATGGGTTAAAATCTATAATTAAATTTTCAAAAAATTGCCAAACTATTCTCCAGAGTGACTACACCATTTCACATTGCCATTAGCAACATATGCAAGTTCATGTTTCTCTACATCCTTGCCAAATCTTCTATTGCCTGTCTTTTATATTATCGCAACAGGCATTGATTGGCAGTGAGGAAAGCGTAAACTGGGGAGTCTCTTCCTGTCCAGGGGACTCTAGGTCCAGAAGACTTTATGCCTACAATGGCAATGAAGTGTTGGGTCAGTGACCACTGAAACAATTGTTTTGTGTACTAAATTCTTCCTGTTTGTACTAAGAAGCAATCCTGACTTAGCTGCGTGGGTGCTCTTGTATGTTCTTTTTCACCATGAAGATCTAAAGTTCTAAAAAATGCACCTCCCATCCCAATAGTTCGTTTTATTTCATAAATGCCAATCTCTTTGTAGCTAACATCTAGACCTCAGTAAAGAGGCAATGTATTCCAGAAAACAGTCAAAGATGTTTTTCTATTAATCTAACATTTTGCGAAAAAGTATCCTGCAGGCAAGAAAAGTTCTGTGTATTTTATTTAGGAAAATTCTGTGTCATTTGCCTCTCTAGTTATATTTAAAGGATCTCCATCCAAGACATGGACAGACCTGGAGGGTAATATGCTAAGGGAAGTAAGTCAGGCATAGAAAGACAAATACCACATGATTTCACTTATGTGTGGAACTAAAAAACAAAATAAATCAACAACAAAAAAAACAAACTCATAGGTACAGAGAATATTGTGATGGTTGCCAGATGGGAGGGGGATTGGAGGAATGGGTAAACAGGGCAATGGGATTAAAATGTACAAATTGGTGGTTATAAAAATAGACAGAGGGATGTAAAGTAAAACATAGAGAATATAGTCAATAATACTGTACGAGCTAGATATGTACAGTAGATATGACAGGTGGGTACTAAAAATGTCAGGGCGATCACTTCAAAAGTTATATAACATCTATTCATTATGTTGTAACACCTGATACTAATATTGTATGTCAACTGTAATTGAAAAATAAAAAATTATCTTAAAAAAATTCTTAGTTTGTGGGCCATGTAAATATAGAACACAGTGGATTTCTTTGGCCCGTGGCCTATCATTTGTTGACAAATAAATAAGGAATCTCTAAGGCCCTGTACCAAAGCAAATATAAAAAATACACATAATGTGCCCTGTTATTTTTAGAAGCCATATTTTTTGCGAAGTGTAGCAGTTACTCAGTAAAAATTTGCTGAATGAACCTGCCCTAAGAATACATTTCTATTTTAGGGGACTAAAATGATACAAAATAATGACTTAATGTTGTAATAAAGTTTTGTCAATTTTATTAGAACTTCACATAATTAAGTAAGTTTGTTTTTTCTGAAAGCCCATTTTATCGTATTACTTCATCAGAATAAGTCGGCTCAGTGAGACCGTCACTGATAGACACGTACAGAGTTAGCACCACACATCTAGAAATGCAGACCACATGACCGCCTTCCCCATATGTACAACCCCTTTGACACATACACACAAGTATTTACAGCTAATAAATAACACTTAAAGCCAAAGCACTGCTAATATATAATATATAGTGAAATCTATAGAAGCCAGTGTTCCCAGGGCCATATATTGATTTGATTCATATGTTCTTAAGCTTATGCATCCTTGCTCGAAAAACCCAAATCCAGAAGATTAATGATTTAGCAATAAAGGGGGAACACCAAACGCTAATCGCACAACATTTTATTTTTACAGAGAATTCATGCCAGACTGGCTGATACCGATCCCAGCATTCATCCTGCTCTACATGGGCACAACCATGTCTCCCAGAGGAAGGGCCAACAAATTCCCATACATCTGTTGATCTTTCACCTTCCAGGGCGCTGAGTAATTAATGCACAGGCGGGGCTTCTTCTGTAAGTGAGTGTGTGCGTGGGTGTCCACAACGTGTTCACAGTTTGGGTTCCCAACAATAGCCTCTGACATATTTGACTTCTTTATCATTTTATATTAATATATAGAAAAGCATTCTGAACACAGAAGATCTAGTTTATAAATAATTGCTCTCTCACTCCTGACTAGTTGTTAAAAACAACAACTCTCATGACATTTTGAGTGGCTGTGGCAACTGAGCATTCTTCCCGTCGCCCACAAGGGTTTTAAGTGCTGTTTACAAATATGTCCCAGTGGTTTTTCCATCACTCTACTTGGTAAAAATGGTCCTTGTCTAAAATTTGTAGGTCTTTGAGTGACACAAAATTTGACTTCAAAGATGTTATCAAAACCAGGGAAGAAAGACATGCTCAAAGTATGACTGAAGCGTGACCCAGATAAGCCTAGGACTGAATAGAAACCATTGGATGGTAAAAACTTCAAAATGAAGTTTTGATGAAGTAATGATGAACATAGTTTTGAAACTCTGATACTAAATTATGGGATCACTTTCTTTCTCCATAGTTAAAATTGCGTGTCAGCTGAGTAAGACAGGCTCCTTTTAACACCTACCCAGGGAGCATTGTTAAAATATAACTGAGACAAAGCAAGAAAAGGAAGGAAGAGATTAAGCAGTAAACTGTAAAGTCCATTAAGATTTAATTGTTCTAAATTTTTTATCTCCTTTAATTTGTAACTCAGTTATGATGCAACCAACCACAGGGAGTGTTTAAAGGTTCAGTTCAACTCTATTCTCCCTTCCGCGCGCCAAGCCACTGGTTCCTGGTTAACTCCTGGACCACATCCAATGACAAGAGGGAAACTGCTCCAGAAAGGTGGGTGTTTAGACCAGTAAAGAAATGGGTCAAACTCAGGCCAGAAAAAAAATATTTTCTGTTCTCAGACTTGGAGAATACTTTGAGAATGTATCGATCCAGAGACTGCAGAATTCCAGTTAAAATAGGAGGTTATAATCAATTGTAGGCTATGGCTAAACTCACTACATAAAGAAGCTTTATTATTTTACCACTGTCCAAACAATTCTTAGTTCTTTCTCAAAGGACAAAATGCAGTGCTTTTCATACCTGCTGTTTTTTAATGTTGGAAAATGTGCTATTTGGCCACTATACTCCTCAAGTTGAATTAGCTACTTCTTAATATTTGAGACTGTCCCTTAAAACAACTAACAAGGATAGCTGGGATTAATACTCAGGAAAATTCACTTTTAACCACCCAAAGCTCTGGGCATCTTTTGTAAAAGTTACTTCCTTCTTCACAGAATTCATGTGCTGTTCTTTCTTCTGTAGGTTTGCCCAGTTTCTGAGAAAAGAGGGAGAAAAGGAAGGGCAATTTATTATCTGCTTCGTGTTTTACAACCCTCTCCCCTCCCCCACCACATCAGGAGGAAGAGGATTTCAACTGAAAGTTCAGAACGAAATGGTGAGAATAAACCCAGGGGAGGCGTGGACAATGGGTCAGAGAAAGTGGCAGGTTTCTGGAAAGGGAAGGCCCCCTAACATCTACTTAGCCATGTCCCAGTAAAGAGTATCATTTTCAGAAGACGAAAGCAAAGGATTTCAAAATTTAGGAAGATATATTTCTTCTAAAACTTGCCAAATGAAATGCCTGTGTGTTTTTTGTGGTGACATGAGGCTTTATGAGTTGTATCAGAAGGTAAGAGAAAGAGAAGCTTTTCCTTGATCAATTAACTTAATCACAAGAAAACTGCAGGAGGTTATTAATCTGATTCACAATGACCTCTTAGATAAAATCCAGATGCATTTTTTAAAAAGCTGCCTAAGTATCTACCGTCTCAGTAATCCTATAATCAGATGAAGAATGTATCATTAGACTTTTTCAAGTAAGTTCTTGTAATGTATAAGTAATACGACCAGAAATACCTTATAAATAAATGGAGTTATTTCCTAGTTTGGGGTTGCTGGGGTTGTTTTTGTTTTGTTTTTACATTCACATATACATTTAAAGTTGTGAATAATTTTGGGAGAATGTGCATGTATACGTGCATTTGTGTATGGTTTTTTTGTGACATAAATTCAAGTATAAAACTTAGACCCTTTCTACAACTTAAAGCAAATGTGAAATTGCCCCGAATTTGTGATGAGGAAAAACAAAGCAAAGAACCTCTTTAAAAAAACAGTCTCCACTTAAATAAGAACTCGGTTACTCTGCAGGCTCAATGCCGGTAACTACTCTCCATTGCGAGTTTCTCTTGAGTGTCTTACATGAATATTGTTAATCCAGATGGCTTCACCTTGCTACGCAAAGTATAGATGCCATAATTCCATTTTTGTAAAATAATAAAAATATATAAATATTATCTCTGCATAGAGAAAATTGGGAAATAGAGACGGGCGTATCTCAGAGATACTGCAGTCTGGGTCCCAGGCCACTGCAGTAAAGCAAGTGTCACATTAAAGTGAGTCACATGAATTTTTTCGTTTCTCGGTGCATAGAAAATTTACAGTATACTGTAGTCTATTAAGTGTGCAATAGTATTATGCCTGGAAAAATGATGCACATACCTTAATTAAAAATACTTGATTGCTAAAAACTGCTAACCATCATCTGAATCTGTTGGGAAAATAGAGCCAATAGACTTGCTTGATGCAGCGTGGCCACAAACCTTCAATTTGTTAAAAACACAATACCTAGAAAGTTCAATACAACAAGATCTGCCTGTATATTAAATGTTAATTAAGGGTTGTCCCTGGGCCATAGAGTCATACTGATTTTATTTTCTTTTTGCCTCTTTTTTTCTAATTGATCCATAATCCATAATTATCTATGGATAAATTACATTATAAAATAGAAATGAAAAATAGTAGAGATATTGCATGTACAGTCTTTAATGTGTTTTTTTCTGATCAGGCAACTCTTATTCTGTACTTTCGTCCACAAGTGTAACTGAGAGAAAGCAAACCAAAAGCGATTGTTTTTTCTGTGACCAGATAGTGTTGTGACCAGCCTTTCCCATTGCTTCTTGCGCCCCTGGCTTGTGGGACACAGTGTAAACTTTCTCCTTTCTACCTGCCTCTAATGAGCCCTTGGCACCTGGCAGGGGAATGAGGGGAGGAATGAAAGTGGCCTAGAGCAGCAAGTCAGGAAGGGATGGGGAAAATCACATGCTTAGTCCCCCCTTAGTACTGACGTTCTGGAAAAATTTAGCTGACAGCTGCCGCATGGATTAGCCTTAAAGGTCAGGTGGGAAAGAGCCAGGGAGTCATTGTGAGACGGAGAAGAGAATGAGAACCATATCCTACACTCTAACTCCACTAACTGCCCGCCTCCGGGGTTTTGACATGGATGCTCAGAGGCTGCCCCTTTGGCCCTCTGTCCCCCTGTCCCCGAGTCAGCTGGCACTTAGAACATCATAGAAGGACTACGTGGCTGCAGCTGCTGCTTCGCTCTCCTGGATACATCCCAGGAGGAGCTGCACCCATAGCCACACAACTCCTAACGTGCGCCAAGTGCTCTGCGCACAGGATTGTCAAGGTAGCAGGAATGCTGTGCAAGGGAAAGCACAAGGGAAGACTGTGTGGCTGTTCAAGAAGTAAAATAAAATCTAAAAAGTGTGCCAGGGATGAAGGTCTGAGCTGGCAGAAAGAACAGAAAGAGACAGGAAAAAAGAGCAAGTACTGCCCAAAGCAAACGGACCGGTCTGCGGTCTGTACAGAAGGGCTAGGAAGACTCCCGGAAGGCCCTGCTCACAGGAACTGGAGCGGGCCTGCAGCTCGGGGTGCAGAGCCCGGCGCGCAGCGGCACCCCTCGGCACACCAGCCCACGGTCCCCCGGGGAGCTTGGCCCCTGATGCTCACCAGCCAGAGCTTTTACTCAGGGACTTCTCGTGGCATTTCACGAATACCACAGATGACTTCCCTTTCTGCAGATGAGACGCTTTGTCCCGGGCACAGAAGGTCACCCTGTGAGGAAAAAAATGGATGTGAATGTGCCATATGGAACAATGAAAAAGACGGTTCAAAAATGGGTGCTTGGGTCAGAGCTGTTAAAATCCCACATGATCCATCCAATTAATTGTTTTGATATTTTCAGTAATTGACTGTTTATACTCAAGCCATTCTGGTCAGCAACATATCTGAATCCAAGGGCTATTGGAGGGCCCAACGCATTGTTCAGCAATAAAGCCAACTAATCAATCTAAATTGCATCCTGACAGCCTGGAACAGCCTTAAAATCACAAGGCTTTCACCAAGAGATGACACCAGATCAGTTTCACCACGTCTGAGTATGTGCCTCCAGCTGGCTTTGCTAGAGAGACAAGCGCCCTGCTTCTCCAGCCACAACCTCTCCTTTTTCTTTTTCTTTTTTTTAGTTGTATAAGAAAATGAGCAGAGAAATAATAACTTATCAACCTTAATGTAAAATACCATATTTTTATTAACAATACTGTAGTAACACTGTAGTTGCAAAATCCCTGTCCATTTAGTTGATATTTTTTCAATCCTATGGGGTTCTCTACACATTTCATTTTATAGATGTGTGTGGGGTGGGCCTGGGGAGACGGGGTGAGATTCTCTTGGCATCTCATCCTTCTTCAAGAGGTTGGCTCTAGTCTTTGAAAATCAAAGTAACATCTCTGAGGTTCCTTCCATAACTATTTTGTGCTTGCAAAGAGCCGTGCAAAATGAGAAGCTGAGATTCCCGACCTCTCATCTCAGCTGTCACTCATAACTGCGATCAACAGGGCATCATGTCGTCTTTCCATGAAATTCAGAAATACTATTACTTCCCTAGTATGATGGTTAAAGAACACTCCCGCAAAAAAATATATAGGTGTAATTATCTGGCTGATAGAGTTTTCTTAAATTTTTAGATTACAGTTGACATTCAACTTTATATGAGTTTCAGGTGTACAGCATAGTGGATAAACATTTATATAATTTATGAAGTGATTCCCCCGATAAATCTAGTACCCACCTGGCACCATATAGTTATTAACTAAATTCCCTAAGCTATACCCCTGTGACTATTTTGTGACCGCTAATTTGTACTTCTTAATCCCTTCCCCTTTTTCACTCAGCCCTCCAGACCTCCTCCCATCTGTCAACCATCCGTTTGTTCTCTGTATCTGTGAATCGGATTGTTTTCTTTGTTTGCTTATTTTGTTTTTTTAGATCCCACCTATAAGTGAAGTCACAAGGTATTCTTCTTTCTCTGTCTGACTCAGCTCACTTACTAGCCGATACAGGTTTAAAGACAAAGCTTATTAGAGTTTTGCCTGAGTGTCGAAGGCTCCAGAAACACTCTCTCTAGGTAATGACATTAGAGTGAAGTCTAAGGGGAAGGGAGAAAAACAAATGCAATTACTTCTTTTGTGTCTCTCCTGCTTTCACTCTGATCCTCTCTACAGCAAAGCCGGGGCTGCTCCACCAATCAGACCAGCTGAAGTATGAGTCGCTGTTCCACTTGAGTTTCAGCATGAGCAGCTCTCCGATGTCCACCTCCGTGTAAATGAGGAAGGAGTATGTCTTGTTTGTGGAAACTTCGGGCCTGAATACAGAAATCAACAAAATTGGTTAGTTCTGGGAACCAAGAGGGGTTTTTTTTCCCCTTTTATTCTTCCAAAAATGTAAGGCATTCTATTGTTTGGGAGGTATTTTAAAAATGCAAAAAATATCCAACAAAACACTCAAGATGAATGTCAATGGCATTTAGTGTATTTCAAAAGATAGCTCCACCCCTTTAATCAATTCTAAATTTTATCCTAACAATATGAACTATTTAATACAATTTTAAGAGAAAAAATCCATGAGCCAATTATTCAGAGACACTATTTTCATATATTCTCTCAATTTGTATTGATATGTGAACATGTTTCTTTTGTAATAATCATAGTATACATACAATTCTCTATTCTTTCTTTACTTCATCTTTTATCTTCCACTTTTGCCACATTTTACATAATTATAGTTTTTAGAGGCTAGATTGGTTTTGTTGATTTATTAAATCCCAACTCACTTAACCATAGCCTCAGTATTGGATGGACATTGACCTTGTTTCTAATCTATGCTATCACATGTACCACGACAATGAACATCTTTTGCCATATAGCTTTTTAAAATTCTTTTGCATATTTTTCTCAGTGGCTTACTCCTCTTCCATTCCTCAGACCAGTGGTTATGGTAGGTGGCCGTGCACAACAAGCCCACGGGCAGGAGCTACTCACAGGGTGAAAGGGATGTTCTCGCTCTCAGCCACAGTGCCATACAGAGAGATCTCGAAGGCCTGGTTGGTCTGTGTGTCAGTATCGGTGCCAGAAAAGTGGATCTTTACTTGGTAATGGAAGACTGCAGGGAAAAAATCGAAGCAAGCGCTGATCAGTCTGTATGGAAACACCACAGCCCCCCAACAAGCAGGCAACTCACAACCACAGACCGGATTTTGTGAGGGGTCAAGCAGGAAGAGCTCACACAGGACAGTCAGTGTGGCTTAAAAAGATTTCTTTGCGTCTGTACAGTGTTCGCTACTAGGCAATTCAAACCTTGCGTTCCACCCCCTTTCAGAAAAGTGTGGTTGAGGTGGATCGGGAAAGTCCCAGTGAATCGAAATTGCGAAGCAACCCTAGAAAGGAGCCATCTCTGATGGGGTCCAAGGGAAGTGGAATCAAGAGGCCCCACTTCCCATGATGCCTTCTCCATGAACTCTACCTCTTTCTTGGCCAGCTGGTCCCTTAGCCTCTATACTGAGCATATTTGGCATTTGTTACTGTGTCAGTGTATGTGACTACGTTCCTTCATGTTTCATGGGTATGTCTGGCCTCCCTAGCCTGTGTTTAAGCTCCTTCGGTTCAGGGGGTCATATTGATCCTCTGTCCCCTCATCGTCTAGCAGAGAGTCTCACACTAAAACTTGCTTCATCATATCACCAGCAAAGCTGTGCAGACCATCAGCTCCCTCCCAGGAATAGTCATTTTTCAAAATACAGGTGGTCTTGCCTCCACTTATAGCAAGCTTAAGGAGCTGGCAAACCTCTTCTGTAAAGGGCCAGATAGTAAATATTTTCGGCTTTGCAGGCCATACAGTCTCTGTCCCAAGAAAGCAGCCTTAAGCAAAACAGAAACAAATGCATGTGACTTTATGCTAATAAAACTTTATTTACAAAAGCAGGTGGTGAGCTCCATGCAGCTCATGGGCCACAGTGCGCTGACCCTGGATGGATGGTTTCAAATGAGCTCTGAGCCTGGTGCTCACGGGCTGCGCACGCCAACGGCCACGATTATGGAGGAGGGTGGCCGGCAGGGCTATGACACAGGGTCGTGCCGGCTGCGACCCGGGCCTTGCTGGCAATGGGAATTTGGAGCTTCAGTAAAGTGGATCAGTGCACCTCCCTCTCTACCCACAAACACACAAGTGAGGGCTCAGTGTTTGGTAACATCATTTTATCACCTCTGGGTGATAAATGAACAAATTAGTACGTGTGATGCAATGAGCATGACCAAAAAGAAGAAGAAAACCAGGTCAGATTGGTTTTCCTGTTGATAGCAGCCCCGAACTTACCTTTGTAAGGCATCTGAGAACGAGTCTTCAGGTACATTTTGCTGCTTCTTTTGGCTCTGACCTTATTGACCTCATAGCCCACGTTGTTGCAACGGTTCTTTCTGCAACTCAGGCAGAGCCCTTTCTCAAAGGCTTCCTTTGAATTGCACCGGTAGGCCTTGCTGGGATTTTCTTCATTCAACAGAGAGTCGATGAAGAGGTGAATGGAGCGCTCATGAGAGCACTTCACGAGCTGATCCACATCTGGGGAAAAGGGGAAGCAGAGAAAATTTCAACTCTGTAGAAATTTTCAATGAGTGCCTCATCCAGCACATCTAAAATGGCTTAGGTGTGGTGGTAAGAATAAAATGACCGCAGGACCTAGTCCTATGCCTTTTCGATGGTATATCCTATGTAAGGAGATATTCTTGGTGCCCGCCTCTTACCCACCTCCAGTAATGTCAAAGTTGCAAATGTACAGGGAACTTTTGGCTTTACCGCTGTCTTATACTTGTATGTTTAAGATGCTATAATAAGAGATATCCAAGGCAGAAGTTGATTTTGCCCAATTTATCATATCTTTCTCTTATATAAAGCAGATGCTTCTAGAAACATAATTCTAGAAACCACATTAAAAGCGCATAATTATTAAATAAATATGATTTTATCATAGATGCTACATAAAACTCTAGGTTTTTTTATTACTAATGATTTTTATATTAAATGAATCATAGAAATAATCATCAATGTTATAAGGATGTACCTATTACCATAAACTTTTATAATTACTGAAAATAGTAACATTATGCTGCAAGTTTTAAAATGTGCACAAAAGTCTTGAGCATATTATCTACAGGTGCATCCCAACGTCCACCAAGTATGCAAAGTTCCCTTAAAACAAATAATACATTAAACACAAACTACCACAATTATTAAAGCAACTATTAAGCCAACATTAAATTTTCTTCTTAAAATTTTGGAACATTTGTTGTTAAAGAATGGTGATTTGTTTATGATTTGTGCATCTCTTTAAAATGCCAATTAAAGAAATGTGGACTAGTTACCATGTCCTTTACTTTCTGTAAAATCCAAAATAACTCTACTGGTTTTTCAACTGCGTTCAAAGTAGGATAACATGTGGCCAGGTAGCATTTTATGCTGCTATTTTCAAAGGCAGTGGGGTTCCCTTGTCTAAACCACACCTGTCTTGTCTTTTGTCACTGTGAGTGCAGCACTCAATGTAGCCTGGACTGTGGTCAGTCAAGACTAGATAAGAAGCCAGACTGCCCACAGCAGGGGGGCCATGCTGAACCTGACACTTCGTCTGAACCATAACTTGGCTGAACATGTATATTAAAACCACATCTTGTGGAGAATGGTTTAACTCTGAGCCAATAAGCATTAAGAACACAATTACGTCTCATTAACTTCTAAATCATATTTACCTCCAAGGCCTCTCTCGGCAATCACGCGGATAGCTTCCCCAATGTTACAGCCTGGTTGAAAAGTGCCTCCATTAGGATAAATGTCAACATGCCCCACTGGTTTCTGGATACCAATACTCCGGCCAGGTGACCCTCTGGTGAATGTGTGTAGGACATCTACAAAATCCGCATCATCGGGAGAAAGGCGACTTGGAGCTTCTGCGTACTCAAAGTTGGGTCCAGCTGGATCTAGGCCTTAATGGGGGGGAAAGAAGGCCTCAGAGACTTTTAAATTCCTATTGCTTTTAGTCTCCATCAGTATCACCTTAGCATTCCATTGCTCAGCACTTGAATAGAATTGGTAGCCACACAGGTTCTTACTAGTTCCTGTTCAGTAGTGACTGAATCTTTAAATTACTGGGAGTCAGAAAAGTAGTCTTAGCTCCTCCTAAAATGGATTTTGAGTCTCTTAAGCAAGCCATGAATTAGTAATTTTCACAGGACGACTTGATTTCCTTTTGTAAATTATTTTTGAAGCTGGTGAGAGGCCCTTCCACAGCGGCAAGCTCTTCCTTCCTCTCTACATGTGCCAAACCATCTACTACCACTGGCCCAAGGTGAATGTTTTCCTGTTTCCAAATGGTGTAGGTTCTTCATCATTCTCCCAGTCCTGATGGGAGGGGCGACATGTGGGCAGCACACTGGCACAGGCCAGGGCGAAGGGAGGAGGGACACCAGCAGGCTCTCTGAGCTTAACTCTGCTCTTTCTCTTCTGCCAGCACATCTGCCCACGAGAGTAAGGGCCTGCATTCTGTCTCACTGCAGAAAAAGAGCCCTGCTGTGACGTGACCAAGTGGCTGGGCATACCCAGAAGAACACACACACATATGGGCATTTGACAAACACCCTCATTCCCTTTCAGAATGACAGGCATCTCAACTCTTGTTACAAGACCAATGGCACTGATTTCTTACCAGTGATTCTATTGACCTTCTTATTGGTCAAACTTCCTGCAACCCCTGCCGCGTGGGCTCCAAGGCTGTACCCCAAGAGATGCACATTGTCCAGAGGATAGTTAAATTCCTCCTTTGGAAGAGAGAAAGAAAAAAAAAGGGTTCTTACAAATTCATTGCAAGAGATCAAAGCTAAAAGAAATAAAATGAATATAAATATTGTTTTCAACATATGGGCAATTCTGAAAACTAATTCCACTTACTTTAATTTTGTGTTACAGATAAGAAAGACATACTGTAGTGCTGAGATTTTTTCCTCAACAAAGTATTTGATTTAGAAAGTGTTTCAATTCATCTGAAATTGAAATGTATGGAAATCTTAATCTCCATACATCTGAAAATATGTGTATGCATATATATGCATGTGTAGATTTATATATAGATCTATACACACACATAGATTTAACTTTAACCCATTAGTTCCTACTCTAAACGCCCTGCATCACTTTATTCTTTAAGGTTAGGCAAACAATGACTAAAAATCAGAAAATATTACAGGGGAAGGGACTGCAGACACGTATGGTCCGGCCTCCTCATTCAACAGATGGGATGAGAGGCCAGGGAGGTGGCCTGATTTGCCTAAGTTCACACTCCTGATTAGCAAAAGAGTCAGTGGTCAACCTTTTAAGGGTAGTCCAATAACCATAACTTACTGTTTACCTCCAAGCATCTGGTTTAAGTAACTTGGCCCTCTCAGAGAATTAGCTTCCTTTCAACCCCAAGAAACTTTCCAAAGGTAGTTTTCAGAGGATGGCCTCAGGGAGTCGTGTGGGTAAAACTGGCAGCTAAGTTGGAACTTTGGACCCTGAGCCACCTCACATCCTAAAGACTGTCCCTGCCATGTTCTTCCTAGCCCAACTCCATCCCTCCTATAACCCTCAAAAAAACAGGGGCCTTTAATCCACACTAAGGAATAAGTGTACTATTAATATTTTCATCAAGGAGATCAGTATCCTAAGGGGTCAGAGCCAGGATAAAATTCCACGGGCCAGCCCACTGGTAGGGAAGGAACCTTTCCTATGCCCAGAAATAACAAGCTCTTCTCTGTTCTGCCCACTTAGTTTTTGTTCTCAGCAAATCCATTCACTATGAGAATATCAAAGGACGGAGTAGGGCAGACCATGTCTTGACTCTATAGTTTTATCATTCTTATCATAATGCTGCTTTTGGATAAAAATAATGCCAGTGTCCATCCTGCAGATTTGAATTGCCCCAGAAAATACCTTTATCTAAGCAAAAAGGCACAAAGGCCAGCCACTTGTCCAGCTCTAGCCAAGGGATCTGTGTTGGATACACAAGGCCTCTCCCCTCAGTCTTACCTCCATCCAGTTGATAAACGTGGCCACATCCTTTCCCACCAGCTTGGTGTAGCCCGCGGACACCGGATAGTGCTGCTGGGCCCGCAACAGCCAGTCCACCACGATGACGTTGGAGTCGGGTTCCCTCTTGTACAGGGCAGCCACAAGTTTGGGCACCCAACTTTCATACATTCCTGTCACCTGAAGAGGACAATGCAAGCTTTCTTAAAATACCCACCTGCAACTTGTCACAGATGTGTCAGCCCAGTACACCTACATGAGGCAGGAAAAAACAAACCCACAAGGAAACCCGTGGGCTCAGACGGAAGAATCAAACCACACAAAAGACTGTGCCTGCCCCTCCCGAGAAACTTGAGGGGGCCGAGGAAGGCTGGCTGAGCTCAGGGACAGAGGCCTGCAGCTTCCCGCGCTCTCAGTTTTAACAGCACATTTTATGAATTCAGGAAAATGTCAATAATTCATGGTATTAAAAGAAAAGGTCAATCTGAACAAGTTAAAATTTTGCAGCAGAGTTACATACTATAAAAAAAAATCCATTTCAACACTATCAGTTAGGCTAATGAATGTTTCCCTACAGAATCATTTTGGCAGCTATAAATGCACTTCTTTTCTTAAAAAGGGTCACATGCAACATTTGATGCGGTAATGAAAAAAAGAATAGTTTTAAGCATGCGAATCTCTCCCAGCAGAAGGTAAGTTCGCTTAGCAATCTCTTGCTTAATACATAAGAAAATTATTAACCTTGGCTCAGGCTTTTTCTTAAGTCCCTCAAATTCTTCATTATCAGTGTGGAAATTAATGAAGTTTGATGCTCACATTTCCCTAATTATTAGATCAGTCCTGTTTGGAGGTAATTCCTTGCTTCTTGTTAACAAAGTCCTCAAAGAACTATTCTTTTCAAAGCCAAAAGAACTATGGGGTCCTCAGATTGACTCTAATAAAGTAGACATCAGACACCTACGCAAAGACACAAACTTTGAAACACTAGAAACACATTTAAAAAACTGCAGATTATAAACTCTACACCATCCTGCCATACGCTTGCACACAGCAACAACCTGATTTTAATTCCCCAATCTACCCACCTTTGATAATGGCCCCAGAGCAGATCATTGTGCAGCCTCAGTAAAGGCTAAGTCACCATGTACTCGGCAAAGAAGATTCTGAAATCCAGGTGGAAAGCAGCTTTTTCGGGGAGACCTGTACAACCTTTCATCTTCTAAGAGGAATTCGAATAAAAACTATAGGACCCTTGAGTTTCTGGACCCAGGGACATCTTTTGGAACTTCGATTCACGTGGCAGGTTCTTTCAGCCTTGCGCTTCCATTTTGCTTCATCTGTTTCCTAGACTAAACCAGCACCACGTGATGGCTTGCTCCAGTCCTGACACTAACACACTGAGCAAGCTTTCGCCACATCGCTGGGCTCTGGGGTACGAGAAAGCAGCCCGAGGCACAGAGGGTCCCAGTTCCAACTCCAGCCCTTCCACTCGCTACCGCTACGCACAGCCCAGGCGCTGCTTTCCCCTCACTAGCACCACAGAACAAAGGGTTGAACTCGGGGGACCTCAAAGTCACCCTCCACCGCCTAAACTTCTCCTTGGGTCCATCTGGTTTCCAATCTACTTGCAGTGATAAAATCCCAACTCTGTAGCTATTTTAAGTGGGAAGAGAAAACAGAGAAGAAAAAGGTACAGAAGTGATGTTAGCCCATTAGGAACTTCATTAAATAGTCTTTGAACACGTCCCAGCAAGTCTGCTTCAAGTCTGGGTGCAGCCTGGGTCTTTGGGGGAAACTGCTGGAACACCCGCCTCACATGAAACCCTGAGACATTGGTCCTGGCCTCCTTCTCCTCCATTGAGATTGGGGGCCACCCTGCACAGCTGCCTCTCAAGAGAGAAAACAATGTGAATCTCTCCTCTTTTCAGCCAGGGGTGAGGACCTCCTCCATCACAATGCAAACCCTGTGCTTAAAGCAGGTGGCAAAGCTCCAGCACAGCCGTGGCCAATCGCCTTCCTAGACTTGCCCTCCACCCCCTGCAGGCTCAGCATTCCTTCGGGGTTCTCACGAGGAAGGGGCAGAGCCTCCTCACTTCCCTTAGTCCTCAACCCTTGAGTCGCTGGGCAGTTTACCACAGACAAGGCAGGAAGCTCTTGTTTGCTCTTAGGCCTTATTATAAATTTTTCTGTACTATCAATGTTTCCAAAAGAGGCAACCTGTCAGCGAGCAAGTAACCCAACTTACTCCTGCTGTGACTGATCCTTGTATTAACTGCCTATCAGTCAGCCTAATCCGTCCTTTTGTAATTCAACGTATATACTGTAACTAACCGAAAGGAGTAGGAAACCCAAGTAAGTATGCCCCTTCCTCACCTCTGGGAAAGTATTATTTTCTAGGTTTTTCTTCTGAGGTTCCTTAAATCAATGCCAGTTTCTTAAATTTTTTATTGTCAGACACACAGCCAAACTGATGCCTCCCTTGCCTCCTGCACTGAACCAGCCAGGGAGGGAGCCTACTGAGGCGAGCTCCATCCAGCGTGGCTGGGCTGTGCAGAGTTGCCGGCTCCGCACGGTGAGACTCAGCCCCCAGCCGGCGGCCAAGCCCAGGCTCCCAAAAGGTCAGAACCACAAGGAGAAGAACACAAATGGGCCTAGCCTAGCGGACAGGACGACTGGTGAGAGCAACGGGCACCGTGAGCTGACATGGGGTCAGCGGTGTCATCTTAATATGGGGGCGGGTGACATGTTTTTCAAAAATCCCTGAAGTATAAAACTCTTGGGGATAAGTTGCGTGTGATATTCAATTTATTCCTGTCATATAAATGTTTATTAAGTTTAAACTTTCTTGAAAAGTATTAAAAGCGGAGTTCTACATACAATAAAAATGTCTCTAAAATCACCGATTGCTTTTTCCTACTTAAATCTCCTGATATATAAAAAAAGGTTTATGTTAGAAATTTGAATGTATATTTATCAAAAAGTATGTAATTTACTATATTAACTCTAGTAAATAGCTATATTTTTGTTAGAATAAACACCCATGTAAATTCTATTAGAAGTTGCCTTCCTCTCCATAAAAGTTTTAGCAATCGCCCTTCGCTGTCAGTAACAGTTGGGATTAGAAGCATATCAGTCATGAGCCAATTCATCGTATTAGAATTTAGTACCGATTACCACGTTTGCAAGCTCTGACATAGTGAGAAGAGAGTATCTCTTTAACCATCCATTTTATTCAAGTCCTTTTTCATAAATAATGAAATCTCACTAGGGATTTAAAATAGTAAAAACCAACTGAAGTACTTAAGTAAGAACTGCACTACATAGAGGGCCTACCGGGCATATGTAGAAAGAACTAGTCTATTCATATCCTTTAAAGGTAAATTTAACTGTAGTTTTTACCTTTTCTAATCATCTTGCATGGCAGTTTGCTGGCTAGCCCTCTTTCACCTCTAGGAAAGCTCCCTCAAGTTTATAACGGGACAATGTTGGAAGTGGAAGGATGTCTAGTCCAACCTCTTTGTTTTACCGACCAGTAAACTGAGACGCAGAGATGAGAAGGGCTTTGATCTACATCCCAGAGCTGGAGAACTGCAAAACCAGGACTGGAGCCCCCGCCTCAGTCCCACGGGTTGTCTGCCTCAGGAAAGAACCTTGGGTGATGTGCGGGATAAACCGGGATCGTGCCGGGTTTCCAGTGATTCCCCAGAATGGTAACCTACATTCTGCTCTGCAGTTGAGCAACTGCCTGGTTCTCCACCTCAGAGGAAGGGCAGGTTGGAGGGCACCCACTGGGTCCCAGGGTAAAGTCAAGTCAGTGTGGCCTGGGGGAAGTACTCATGAGCCAGTGGCTTTAAATTCTACAAAATTGAGCCAAAATTGCCTTTACCCAATTTTAAAGCAAAGCCATCTGAAAGAAATAGAAGTGTGGGATGTGGAGACCAATCGCTGGGTTCCCAGCCACCAGGGCAAGCGGGTCGGGATGCCGGGTCCACCCCAACCCATTCCTTTCTAAAGAGCCTCTCTCACCGTCCAGCCGTGGATGACCACGAAGGTTTTGCTGCTGTGGTTGAAGTGACAGTTGGCCACTGATTCTGGTTGCCCAGGAATGAGGTGGCAAGTGTCCTCCACTGTGTCTTCAGGGGTCCTTAGAGAAAATTTACTTTCAATGTCTACAAAATCTTTTCCTCCTGTAATTTCTGAAAAAGAAAAATTGCATTGAAAGTTAATAGAAAGATTTTTTCTTTTTTATTTGCTGAAGCGGTTGGTATGCTTTAGGTTCCCAAGCAACCAGCCCCAATACTGCTTTTGTTTCTAAAGTTTTTAAAAAATGAACGTGGACTGCAAGAGAATGACCGATTCTCCAGTGCTGATCCAAGCTGACTGAGATGGTCTTAAGATAACTGTGAGTTAAGCAATATTGATCTCTCCTGAGTCTCCCATCTTCTCCCTCAGTTGCGGGGGTCGGGGAGGGGGGCGGGGACAGGGGGCGCACGGTTAACTGCTATTTGAAAGTCCTTCATTAATTCAACTTTCTCTCAGAGCATGAGTTGGCCAAGGTCATGCTGCTGAAAATGGGAGAGAAAGCGGGGACCAGACCCACCCAGGTCTCTCGGTTCCAGTTCAAAGCTCATTCTCTATACAACGCTGGCTCGTGGCCCTTGCGTTGCGTAGTTCTACTTATTTCATATATCATGTCACCCTCTTTAAGTCTCTGATTACGCCAAAGGAATGTTTTCCACAATAAGATACAATAAAGCTTGTCTGAGGGAAGATTGTTTCCTTTTCACCAGCATAATTTTTTTAAATATTAGCAATAGGAAAAGTTGGCAACACGAGGAAGCTTTTGCATGGAGTGGTCCCCGCCCCCCACATTAGGACACATCAGTTCAGGGTATTTTTAAAAAATCATTTAATGGGTTGTTCAGAAATACATGTGCTATGTATGAACCATGGTTAACTCTTTCCCCAAATATCTCTTTTTCCACTTACGTCTTTAGTCTTTCACAAAGTCAAAGCTTTAAAAAACTACCGCAAAGCTGGTTTTGGAAAGAATCCACTTTGGCTCTTCCTAAATAATCCCAAGACAAATAAGGACAAAAAGAAAACCTATATTGTCTCTCTGGACAATAAACCTAAATGTTGATGAATCTTCACAGGATGTTCGTAAGGAGTACAGAGCACATCACAGTGAACACTTGAAGTAAGTTGTACTGCAGATAAAATCAGACTATTTTACAGAGCAAACACGTCAAAGGGAAATTATATTATGGGAAAATACTTAATTTCTTGTCAAGTCAAAAGTAATCTGCTTATTCACTATAAGGAGGCAATAACTTGTAGATTTCAGATTTCACTATTTAAAACTTTCAGAAGGTAAATAGCTGAGGTTGCTTAGAAATACTTGTAATTTCTTAATCTAAACTTCCTCAATTTTCACAATTCAAAAGCTGAAAATCTGTGATTTTCAAAATAACATTGCAAAAATGAGGCCAAAAATAAAAATAAGAATGCTATCACACATGGGAAGATGAGCACCTGAGCCAAACTTATCACAGATTTATCTGAGGACTGGCCAACATTTTCCTTTTTAATTATTTTTCAAAATTCCATAAGCAATATTGTGATTACCTCTTGCTAAGTGAGTCATATGTAGCAAGTTGATCACACACACACACACACTCATACATACAATCTCTAGAACCTAAACATTCTAAGATAATTTATTCAAATCAGAGATTGATATTTAAAGCTTTATTTTTTATTTCCTATAGTAAAATTGCACTTGAAATTCGCTCGTCCATCATGAATACACTCTGCTTCTCATCTTATTTGAAGATGCAGAACTTCTCTTTCCTTCCTAAACAGAAAGCGCTCCGGTGGCCTTATTATTTATCTGACAGTGGAAAAAAATATATTGTAGACTCTTAATCTGATTCTGCCTCCAATATGCAAGAAGTCCTTTTAGTGTTAGAAAGTGTTTTAGAAAACTTGAAACTAAATTAGTTTCCCTCCCCCACATCTCTCCACATCAAATAACTCCTGCCTCCTCTCTACCGGTCTTATTTTAACACGTTCGATTAGCAGTCTTTTTAAAGCAGGAATAATCTGAAACCTGGCAGATGGATCTCACCCACCACCTATTTGCCAAACTGACATTTAAGACTCTTGCCTTGCACCACCCCAGGGAACACACTCACTTTTATTCTATTTATCCCCCGAATTATGCAACATGGTGACTCTGGTGTTGCTAGTGATTTTGAAATGGTGAAGAATATTCTTTGTAATTATTAAGGCTGGCTTCGTACAATTACACACACACACACACACACACACACACACACACACAGTCTGTTCAATCTGGAAGTCCTGTATCAGGTTGTCTGAATAGCTCGTGGAGAGCTCCCATTTCCCACAACCAAGAGTTAGTGCTGGATACCTATCTTCCCCTCAAAAAAAAAAAAAATGAAATTCATACATTTTCAAGCACATTTTTATTTGGAGACCTTTACTTCACCTTCCGAGGAAATTGGTTTTCATTTTAAGTTACAGAAAGCATAGTAAAGCATATGACTGGAATATACTACCACTGTATGTGCTATGTGATGTTTTCAATGCTATGTCAGTTCTGTCATTGAAATCATGGGTATGAGTCTTAGCTTCTCCCGGTGTTCTGATAGGAACTTTCCCACTACAGGTGTTTGTAACCCCTCAAGGATGTCTCAGCATCCTGAGGACAGATGTGCCTTACACACCCCTATCAGCCCTCATATAACTGACTTAGGCCCCTTAGAGATGGAGAGGAGGGTGGGTCCTGATTGCGAGCAGCCAATGTGTGTAGTTGTCCCATACACTGGGATTGCGCCTGGCTGGCAGGTGAACTGACTTGAGTTCATTGTTACTAAGGAAATTACTGTTTCCATACATGGAAATGATCTTTGTGACTCTGCACCTATTCTTTTAAGGGGATAAGGACCTTTTACCAGATCCCTTTAGAAATTCAGACCATCTTAGACTAGTAAAATAAAAAGGGAGCTGCCTAAGGTATATATCTTTATAAGAACCTCCATCCTGAATTCGATTTCGCACGCCAGCACCACCACGCCAGCCAGCCCCGTCAGACACGTCCTTACTAGGCACTAAGGGGAACTGTTGGGGAGCCAGGCAAATTACAGGTTAATGCATGTGGTAATCTTTATTCCTAAATTCCTAAATAGCTAAAAATCTAAGCATGCACATAAAGACAGAGAATTTATCTTAAACTGACAAGGACAAAATTAGGCAGAGAACTCAGAAAGCACTTTGAGGATAAATTTAGAGCTATATTATTGCTTCCTGAAAAGGAAAAGCATGGAACATCCCAGAAAAGATATTCTAAAAGCAATTCACATTTATTAGATGAATTTGATTGACATTTATAAGAAGACATGAGGTACATGAGCTCAATTATAATGCAATTCTCTTTGAAGTTTCCACTTTATCCCTCTCCCTCTCTCTCTCTCTCTCTCCCTCCCTCCTAAAAGACCTCATGGGTAATTTATCTTCTCTCTAAGACTGATGGTCACAATTATTGACTCAAGCAGCTTCTGTAGAATGCCAAGAAACAAGTTGAATTGATGAAAACAAAAAACAAGTTCAGTGAGGAGGGAAAAAAATCAATATTGTTATCTGACTGAAATGATTGGTCCTTCCAGATATTCCAATGCAGACAATACCCCTGACTTCCTTGACAAGAAGATTTGCTTTTCATTTTTATAGATAAAATGTTGGTAAAAATAGAGGTAATAAACTGTATAGCCCAATTTCTCCTCCAGGAATAAAGCACACAAGAAGGGTTGAGCTAAAAATACACCGTCTGAAAGAAAGTGAAAACTTTCCTTTGAAACTCTTCCCCAGTGCCTGACTCCCACCTTTCAATACAGCTATTAATCCATCAATCCCTTGCCAACCTCTGCAAGAGTTATCTGCTATTTTGCTGTCATTACCCAACACGTTTAATTCAGATGTTAGCCTGGAATTCACTGTGACCAGTCAAGAAGAACTTCAGCTACTGAGCACTGACCCATATGCTCGCCTCCTGGTTCTGCAGGTTTCCTGATGACGTTTGTGGTGGCTTTCCCAGAACCAGGAAACAGAGGGCAGTGCCTCCTCTCCTTGAGTTCTTCTTAGAAGGAGCCCGAGAATGACTAATGCCGTCAGAGCTGGGGAGGTGCTGCTTACCCCTCGCTCCCTCACGCTTGTGTCCTCCTGCCCTGAAACTCTGACATCCTGAGATGAATTCATTTGGAGGGGGGGATAAAAAGGGGGCAGAAAGTTGCTGCGGTAGGAGAGACACACTATAAAGGGGAGGGGATGGAGTGAGAGTAAGAGGCTAGGATGACAGACATTAATTTCAAGCCTACTTAAAAATGATTCCTCCTTACATTTACAACCAGGAAAAGCATGCGTTGGTTGCAATCCAGTTTAATTCATGGCTCACTTGCATCCATGTAAATCAGAGTAGGAATTAGAGGGGCCTAAGAGAGATTTGAGTCTGGTCCAAATTCCCCTTTAGGGTTGAGGAAGATAAACTCTGAGAGGCAACACTGACTAGCCCAGGAATTTCTTGTCCTGAACCTCTAAGGGAGCCTAGCAAAAACTTCAACTCTGGGTGACACATATCTGTGGGTGTTTTATGGTAAAAGGAACGCTACACTATGGTGCACTTGTCAAACTCAAGAATATGGAGTCTGCTCCCACCATCTTCTTGGAGAGTGTCAAACGCCATCAAGGGGACATGAGGCCATGCAAGATGTTTAGGACTTTCTGACTGAGCCACTGCTGTTCTCCAACTGCCCTGACAGAAAAGATACTTGTCTTTTTTTTTTTTTTTTTTTTTTCGGCCAATTCAGCTTTGACTTACTTTTCTTAACCTAGCAAAAATATTCTTTCACAAAATTCAGTTCTGAAACGAACTTTCAGCTGCAATAAAAGTCTTGGACAGGCTCGACTATAACCTGAACCACTGTCCACGTGCCACCTGAAAGGACTCCCAAGCACCACCACCGGAGAGAAGAAAACGCTGCCTCCTTTTAAGACTTGCTTCAGTTGCTGCCCCGACCCCCTCGCCCCCGTATTTTATTTATCATTAAAAACACACGCACGCGCAGCAGTAAGTTCAGGCTTGGCTTCAGGAAGACCAAATAGTTAATCCTTTGCGTTGCTGTTGTGTCAGCTGAAGCAAGGTTCCAGTTAAGCAGGCGGCCTCCAGTGCGGGCGGGTCTCGGGCTGCGCGCTGGTCCCCTCTAACCCCTACCCTACCCCCGCCGCTATAAAGAGATTCGCCTCTGGCCTCCAGAGCCCTAACCCTGGCGAGCGGGAGGCTGCCGAGCGCTAAGGAGAGCCCTTGCAAACCTGGCAACCCCCAAGTCCACGTTTTCAGGGGGGTCGCCCGATTTACTGGGCGCTAAGAAAAGCCCAGCGTGCGAGGGTGGCAGCTGGGGAGCTCCCCCGCGCCCGGACGCCTGCAAGATGCGGCGCCCCAGGCCTCCGCGCCACGCTACCCGGTCCCCCACTCCCACTCGATGCAGAATGAGAGTATCCGGTGCGCCCAGGATGCAGAGAACCCTTCCGTCCTCCTGGGCCGGCTTCCCCAGAAGGGACCGCTTTCTGCCTGCGCTCCCACAGGCAGGGGCTGAGTCGCAGCCACAGCCTAGCCAGGGTCACCTTGGCCCGCGTGCCTTTCGTTCCAGGGCCGCCCCCGACCCCACCCCGAGCCAGCAGGGGACTGCCTGTCACTGCCATCTGACCCCTTGCTCCCGCCTCCGTCGTCCCGACCCTCGCACTGCTCCCGTCCCTTCCCGGGTGAGCCCGGGCGCCCGGGAACACGACCTCAGCGGGCGCGGAGGGGCAGCGCGGGAACCCGGGAGAGCGGGAACTGCCAGCGGCCCCCGCGAGACCGGAGGCAAAGCTCCCTCCCTGCCTCTCCCGGGTCCCGCCCCGGCGACCTGTCCGAGCCGCGCACGGGCGAGGTGAGTCCTCCGCGCCCATCCGAATGTGCTGCCGACTCCCGCCTTCCCATCCTCCAGACGCGGGAAGTGGCCGCTGGGCCGCGCCTGCAGGTGAAGGGGAGTCTGCGCGCAAAACTTACTGTCGGCGGCCACCACCCCTCGATGCCAGGCGATCAGACTCTGGAGACACACGCCCAGAGCCACCAGGAGCAGCACTTTGCTCTGCATCTCGAGGCTTGTCCTTCGGTCGAAGTTACCGGGCACGGTCCGGAGCGCGGACAGACTGATGCACCGCGGAGCCGCAGGGGCGCACAGGCAGAGCCTCGGTCCTGCGCGGGGCAAGGCAGAGAGCAGGGAGCTAGAAGTGGCAGGTTTCCTCGGAGGAAGAAGAATCGAGTCTGACACTGTTTCCACTCCAAGGCTGCTTATGTGACTGGAAATATGCAAATAAACCTCATCACCTATTGGCTATAAAATCATAAGTTGGAGGGAGGGCCCTAAATACACTTCCAAATGTTGGAGCAAACTGTAATGAAGATCAACCCTGCCAGCGAGAAGAGGGTGAAAGGGCAGAAGGAAAATTTGCTTTCTTTAGAGTTTCCTATTCGCTTTTCCTCAGGGGTCTGGCTCTCCAGGGCCCCTGTACAAGCACCAAACAGGGTTTATATGGATTTATGTTAAATACTCCGCAACCACCAGTTTTCCAAAGAGGGGAAGTTAAGCCGTTAAACTACATTTGGTCCAAACTTAAACCCACTCTTCTTTTAATGGATCCTGTTTGTAACTTACAGGGTTTATTTTCCCCAAAATTCTTCTAGACGATGTCAATTTAAGGATCCATAAACACTGATCTGTAGCTCCTACTTGAACAATCGGTGTTTTAACGTTGGCAAAATGGATTAGCCACTGTGGTGGATGGAGATAAGCCCTCTTGTTCTACCTCGTTTCTAATTTTTGCCTCATGCAAATCGTATCCCAACTCATCAAAGAACGGAAGTATAACATTTTATTCTCAGGGGCAGAATATGGAGGTCCAGGCATCTAAAAGTGTGTTGTTATGCGACGTGAAAGAAGCCAACACAAAAGACACACTGTAAAAATCCACAAATAGGCAAGTCTTGTAGAAAGAAAGCAGATTAGTGGCTGCCTGAAGCTGGGGGGCAAGGGAGAGGGAGTGCGGAGAAGCTTTGACACTAAAAAACCCCTGACTTGCACACCTTACATTGGTGAACTTTGTAGTATGTAAATTATACCTTAATAAAGCTACCAACAAAGATGCATTGAGGTATGTAGTTAAAATAAGAATAATAAAATCTTCTATTTTTGCCAATATGCCTAGAATACTATCATGATATCTTTTTAAGTGTAAAAGATTTGCATTAGCCAGAAAGGACAATTAACTCTATACTCTCCACTTTGTATCTGAGAAACAGGCTCAAAAATCAAAACCTCTAATTCACTGTCTTATATTGGATTATTTCTCTGAATATCTTCTACGGCTTCCTTTTACTCATCCCTCCCTCGATCCCTCTCTCTCTTTCTCTTTCACACACACACACACACACACACACACTCCACATTTGTATGTTAGAAGGATGAAAAGCCGTACTATTTAAACTAGGCTCACATTTAAAGTTTATCTCAAAAATGAAATACACCTGACAATATCCAAATCATTCAAAGTTTGCTATTCTGAGGACTCGAGTTCCGTTTTGTTTTCGTTTTTGAGTTGATGCATTAAATGGCACAACACAATATATTGTCTTGTATTGCGATTATTAAACAATATGTTGTGTACATTCATTCTGCCCTACAAAGTGTGCGGAGGAATTCTGAAACTCGCCAGAAATGAAACTCATCAGGGCAGAACAGACCGGGCCGGTGGGAGGCTGCGGTGAACAACGGCGACGTGGCAGTCCTCCAAGAGATACATGGTGAATTCTAACTTTAAAAAATGTTACAAGATGAGTACAATTGTGTTGCATGTACTGGGGTATAAATGGCATAAACAGAAGTGGAGAGTGCCTACCATCTTATACAGAATATTCATGCGGCCTATTTTCACACATAAATTCCTTTTAATCATTTGATAAGACGACCAAGCCAATCTGTTCTTCTGTGCCTCTTCAGGGAACTGCAAGATGGCTACAAAGAATTCTGATGCTTATAACGAATAGTTTAAAATTATTTTCCAGGTTAACCTAACAAAATCAAAGAGTTTGAGTAATTCTTCTCCTTTTTTTAAAGTGTGAAACCGGTTTTGCCGTGGCCTGTGGTGTTACACTCCACGTCCATTAGGGTTGCAGAGATTTCCAGGAAGAATTAAGTCACAGGTGCTCGGCCCGCTAGAAAAGCGGGCTTGTTGGCCCCAGTCCCGAGGCCGGCGGCGGGCAGGTAGGTGTGGCGGCAAGGCGCTCTCCTGATTGGCTGCTCTCCGAGCGGTCTGGTGCCGCGACCGGGTGCCGCGGTTCACGTGACTCCGAGCCCGGGCTGCCTGTGCGTTAGCGACGCGTCTCCACCAAACCCCAGCAAGGTTATTTGATCACCCAGAGTGTGAGGCTTGACGTTTTCCGCAACTGACTTTCCTTCGTAACAGACTTAAAAAGGTGGTTTTATAAACGTTTAACAAGTCAGTACTCATGGCAGGACACTTGCTCCTGGCCTAAGTTTGAAATGACAAAGTAAAACGTGAGATGGTCATACCTAAAAAACAACCAGAAACTCCAGAATTCCACGTGCAGGGAAATGCCACCTCTCTACCTACCGATCATCTATCTTTCTATCATTTATCGTCTATTGTCTATCATATACCTATTATGTAGATAGAGGGCCTGCTATTTGCACACACTGGACACTCTTCATCCCTTTCTGAATTTAATAATTATAAAAACATCCCGAACTCAATATTCCTATTGTACAAATGAAGATAAAATGTCAGGAATATTGAATAACAGTAACCGCAAATCATGAAGTGTTTTTTTTGTTGGGCGATCCTAAGAAAGAAGGAAAATGTATTTGATGTGTTACATTTTAATGCTGCTGTCATTGCCAATGGGAAAAGCCTGCAAAGCAATTTTTCTTAATATACATGCATGGTTCCGTGCAGATTTTATTTTGTATCTTTTTTTTCTCAATTACAATGCAATGTGTGGGCCCTAAAAGAGCATCAGTGCTGAGGTGGATCTGGTGTCTATCACAAAAACTATATTTAATATAGAAAAAAGTGTGGTTAATATAAATACAATTTACAAACAAAATCATAAATATAAAAATTGTTTAAATCTATAGACTTTTAATTTTTTTTTAAAAACCAACAAGATGTTTCCCTGGCCGCGATGGCTCCGTCGGTTGGCGCATCGCCCCACACGCCAAAACCTTGGAGACCCCACCCCCGGTCAGGGCAGGCGCCTAGGTTGTGGCTGATCCCTGGTCCTGGTGCGTATGCGAGGCAGCCAATTTGTGTTTCTCTCGCACATCGATGTTTCCATCTCTCTTTCTCTCCCCCTTTCTCTCTCTAAAATCAACAAACATGTTTTTAAAATATGTTTTAAAACAAAACGTTTCCTAAAAATTGCCATGGAAGTCTTTTCCACTGCTGCCCACGTGTATGCCAACATTAAAGCGCAGACAGGGAGGAGCACCACCTGCATCTGGACAGATGGGTTGTGGCCGGGAGGGGAGGGTGCGGGGGAGTCCTGGCGGCGAGATGTGTGCCCGAGGCTGGAACTGTTCCCGCTGCACAGTTAAGTGGAGACGCTGCTCCCATGGACTCTTCTTTGATTCCTCACGCAACAAAGCTGCATTCAGGAAATTCCAAGCAGCGGTTCAAGGAAAAATTAAGCCAGGCAGAATAGAATGTACCATATTCTCCCCTTGGTAAAGTTGGGTGTCATATTCTGGAAAAGTTAAAATGCAAATAAATATTATATTTAGCCAATTTGCTACTGTCTCCTTCCTTCACCAAGTTTGAGTAAAAGGATCAGGGGAAGGAATTGGGAAGTATAAAGGGAAGTATTTCAAATGATAAAAGTGTGGTGTTAAATAATCCAAACATATTTTAAGGATTTACATTTTCTTGGCTTGGGGTATTCATCTCCTCTCCTCTTCTAAGAGACGGAAGGAAGGAAGGAAGGAAGGAAGGAAGGAAGGAAGGAAGGAAGGAAGGAAGGAAGGAAAAAAAGAAAAATATTTTAATATCAACATTAAAAAATTGACTAAAGTGAAGAGAAATACAAGGTTTTATTTTTTGAAAGAGTGAATTTTTAAAAATGTCAGTGTATTACAATGGCCTGCCTGGAACAAGGCACTATGGTGAGGGAGACACAAGAAGAGGACAGAGAGACAGATGCTGTCACGAGGAGCTACAAAGGCCCAGGGGTTGGGGAGGAAGGACGTGGGCCTTTCCTAGAAGACAGAGCAAACAATCTGAAAAGAATGTCCCACCAATAATGCACTGGATGTATAACCTATGTTTATTTGTAAGTAATCGCTTTCCCCTTTAAAAAGACTCCCATACTTAAAAACTTAAGTCCATGTAGGAAATCAAAGGAGACTTTCTATGAGACCTAGCTGGTGACTTGAATATGTGAGACCACAAATATGTGAGGGGGGACCCCGCCCCCCAGAAATGGAATTATCTTCTGGAGGGCAGGCCCCTTGTAGTACTGGCTTCCCCCTCTAGGTGGGTGTTCTAGGAAGCCAACTGTATCAGTGCACCAGCTGGCATGGTGTGAGAGGCTACACTCGGCTTCAGTGAGTCTTTTTTGAAGACTCAACACGGTTGCCCATTTCATGATGAGTGATTTACAAGTGCATCTGCCCACCCCACGATGAGTGTTCAGCAGTATCATTCCATGATCCATCCTCCCTATTTACCTGATCTTGTCCTGAGTGACTTTTTTTGGTTGTTTCCACAGATGAAAAAAAGTCATCAAAAAGTCCTCAAAGGGAAACGTCTTGCCAATATGGAAGAGACAAAACAAAAAACAGCAGAAGCATTAAGAGGCATCAAAATTGACAAGTTCAAAAACTGTTTTGAGCAGTGAAAAAAAGTCTTAATAGATGTATTGCCTCAAATAGAGAGTACTTTGAACGTGACTGAAGATTAAACATATAAGAAAAGTACACAATGTTTTATAAATAAATTCTGGTTTTTCGGGGGCCCCCCCCTCGTATGTTGCTAAGGGCTTCACATTCTGCGACAACCTCAGAGAAATTATGGAAACCCTGCACTCACAATAAGCTGAGTGACTCCAGCACAGACATGCTTGAAGTGCCTGCCCCCTGCTGACTTCCTGGTGACACTGTATCCTCTCAAAAAAAGCCCTTTTATGAGGCTTGAAACAATTGATTTGAGTAATCATTAGCCTCTTGTATTGTACTGGAGTTTTTCTAGACTCTTTTGTTAAATTGTATGTAAGCGGGAGGCACTCTTCTCAC